GGGGGGCGATGGATAGGAGGAAATATTATCGGAATGCAGTGCTTTCATGTGGAACGTTCGTACCTTAGCAAGTCCAATATTTGTAACACATATAAAAATCCCACCGCGGCGCAACAATGTAACAGTATAGGGGTAGCCAAACTTCGCCCCCCTCCCAGCGTTGTGGAACTACACGTCCCATGGGGCATTGCAAGACTCAAACAGCCACAAGCATGATGGAATTATAGTTTCGTCACAACTTGAGGGACGAAGTATGGCCACCCCTGCGCTACGGGATACTGGAGTCTGATTGGTTGCATCATTTTGTGTTGCTTCTTGAAATGTTATACCAATAGGAACCCCTCAGGATGGAGATAGCGTAGACTTGTTCCTGGCTTCCGCTCAACCTCTGACCAGGCGTGCACGATGGGCTTTAAAGGAGAACTATGAGGTGAGTGCTTTCCACTCACCTCATAGTTCTAGATGACCTGTGACAATGAGACTGTCACAGGTCGGCTCAGTAGATCGGGAAGTGAGCGAACACATACGGGCGTTCGCTCACCTCTCGATCCTGTCACGGCTCTCTGCCGTGTCAGGGGAGGGGCTGGATTCTGGATTCTGACTGGCGGATCGGACGGGGGAGGGGGCGGGTACAGCTGGCTCTGCTTCTAGATAGGCAGAGTCAGCTGTCACTCACGCAGCTGGGCGGATCCCGTCGTCTAAGTCGGGATCCGCTCCGGCTGCGGCGTCTCAGTATACCGCGAGCTGTAGCTCCCTATATACTGAGCCTAGGGTGACGGGAGGACGCTAGTTTGTGTCCTCCCGTTACCCTAAGGAGAACTATGGGGAAAAGCCCTGACCCCATAGTTCTCCTTTAAGACGTCACGGGATGCATGTTTTTTTCTACGTCAACAGCTCTGTAGAAGGTGACGCCAGGATAAGGATGAAAGTGCTGAAGTCTACTCCAACCAATCCGCAGCTTCAGCTACCTTAATTCTGGTCCTGACAACTCCCCTTCAATAAAAGCAAAACGTAGAAATACCTTGCCGCACTCCTTAACGGGAAGCCCCAAATTAGATAAGGGGTGGTGCTCGCAGTGACCGCGTATGGAGCCGCCAAACAGGACAAAATAAACGGATGTCACCGGCACACCAATATTGTTGGAAGTCCAAAGTGTTCGTTTATTAGAACGTCATGTCACCAGAACTAGCGCTTTCTGGGCCACGCAGGGTCCCCTTCATCAGGCTCAGCAATGACGAGGTGAGGTCATTGATGAAGGGGACCCTGCGTGGCCCAGAAAGCGCTAGTTCTGGTGACACGATGTTCCAATAAACGAACACTTTGGACTTCAACACTATTGGTGTTCTTCAATAAAAGCAGACACCCCACCCCCACCACGGGGTCGTCCCTTTCTCTGTCAGCTGGAACGTGATACGCGGCAGTTCCCGGTTGCATTTGTTGCGACAAATTGAAAAGCGTAATTACAGTGAAAACAAGCCAGTGTGATGTGATCGGACGAGGCGGGAATCGGGCCGAGAAGTCGCTCCTCCGCACTCGTTAAGGGCCGCACTAAGTGCCCCGTGCTCATCGCCCGCTACCGCGCTGATTCCTTCAAGTGCAGTCACTCAGCTTTTGCGGTCAAGCTTGCTGATGCGGCGTGAAGTAGGTAAAAGTGTCCTGTAACGAAAACGCAACAAGACTCAGAATCCGGAATAAATACGCTACGCCATGAAAATTGGAGATGTCACGATCATGTAAATCCTGGTGTCTGTGCAGTTCTTGGCCGTGTTAGCAAATTTCTGGCACAGATCAGCCCCCTGCTGATGCCTCCAGTCTTGTGACTTGCTACAAAGTTGCAAATTGTTGCAATCTAGAGAGGAGACTGAGGAAATGCTTCCTCCTGCCTGTAAGCAGACTGATCACGGGGGGAGGGGGGCTGAGGAAATGCTTCCTCCTGCCTGTAAGCAGACTGATCACTGGGGGGAGGGGGGCTGAGGAAATGCTTCCTCCTGCCTGCAGCAGACTGATCACTAGGGCAGAGGAGAACAAGGAAATGCTTTCTCCTGCCTGCAGCAGACTGATCACTGGGGGAGGGGAGACAGAGGAAATGCTTTCTCCTGCCTGCAGCAGACTGATGACATCATCCCAGCCTAATATTCCAGGAGTTCTCTCTGCAGTTCAATGATTCATCTCTGTAGCTGTAGGCATTGTGGAAAAATTCATCTTCAAAGCTGACAACAGAGGCACTGAAACCTGAGCTCTTATTTGAATGGAGAGCAGAATCTTGGCAGTCTGTCTCTCTCGCTGAGTGTAGATTGGATTAGAAAGGACAAAGTATGAAAGTTGGAGCTTTTCTTATAAAATGATACTGTTGCTGAACACTGTGACATGTCAGGAATATATTTGTGCAAATTTGTAAAGTTACTATACAAGGTCCATTTTTATTCTAAGAAGTTCCAGGTACGTGTCCCTAATAATATTTCCTCCACCCCCAAGACCAGAGCTCCCCTTCAGATATGAACCAATCACATTTCAGTGTGTGTGTATGATCCTTCGCATCATTTGGTAGATGTTTCCTGCATATTCTCTCTGTAGTTCAATCACACATTGAGAAAATTACATTATTAGACAATATGGTTTCATTACAACCTTATAAAAATCACCAACAGCGAAAATCGCACCGAGAACTATTGAAAACGCATATGTCACCCGCCATCTTTGCCCTCGCGCCTGTCCGAGTCGCCCCTTTAACACATCTTCCGTTCTGGTTTTTCTTTATAACGTTTGTATATCTGTTTATAACGGTTTTAAAAACGAATTTTATATCAAGCAGTCCATATACCAGTACGTTGGGAGTCCGAATTATCCGACCGCCATGTTTTATATATTATACTGTATAAGAGAGAAAATGTCAGCATTATATATATATTTTTTTGTATTTTACAGACATCGATGAATGCGCATTAAGGACGCACACCTGCTGGAACGATTCGGCCTGCGTGAACCTTGAAGGCGGCTTTGACTGTCTCTGCCAGTCGGGACCGTCCTGCACCGGCGATTGCCCTCACAATGACGGGCTTAAGCGTAATGGCCAAGTCTGGACCTTGAAAGAGGACCGCTGCTCCGTGTGCTCCTGCAAGGTAACATGTCATTCTCTCTAAACCTGTGCCCAGACTATGCACACTAAAGTGTATGTGTATGTATGTATATACATGGCTTTCTTCAGCACACATAACCGCTCACCCTTCACAGGTTATCCTGTTCAGTGTCCCAGTCCCAGGACCTTACTGTTTTCCTCAACAGGATCTCTTCGGGAACACACATGTCCTTTGAGCAACTTTCAGCAGCCTTTGATTTCACACCCACACACCTTGGGTGCACGGCTCTCTCAGCCTCTCTACGCCTTCCAGCCCCCCAGGCTGTTCCTCGTGTGCCTCCGCTGGTCCTCGTGTGCCTGCCTACAACCTCCGCTGGTCTCGTGGACCTCCATGCTGCGCCATTACCGCATCCTCTCCTGAAGTGCAGGTGTACTTTATCCAGGCACAAAACCCCCCAGAAACATCCAGGGAATCGTCTCGGGACTTTGCAGACGTTTATTCCGGGTACAAATATTTACTTTATCACAAAGTATCCCGGGACTTCGCTTCCTCCCGCCGGAGCCGCGCATCCCAATAACCGTAATTGAAATCAACTCGTAATGAATTCATCATCTTTAAATTCAATTAAAACATTGAGCTGAGCGACGCGCGCCCATGAATAATTCATCAGCATTGCAGATCGAGGGAGAGCGCAGTCACCGGGCTGCGTCTAGGTGAGGCAACGCCGCCCGCCATCTTGTCAATACTGATAGACGCTCATTGATATTAGAGCTGATTCCAAATGTTGAGTTAAGTCAGATTCGGATGGAATTTCATGGATTTAGATAGCAAATCATCACCTCCTCCCTCCCCTTTGGTCTCCGTCCTTCCCTTCCATCTTGTATCTGACCTCCGTCCTATCTGACCTCCGTCCTTCCCTTTGGTCTTGTATCTGACCTCCGTCCTTCCCTTCAGTCTTCTATCTGACCTCCGTCCTTCCCTTCAGCCTTCTATCTGACCTCCGTCCTCCCCTTCAGTCTTCTATCTGAACTCCGTCCTCCCCTTCAGTCTTCTATCTGACCTCCGTCCTTCCCTTCAGTCTTCTATCTGACCTCCGTTCTCCCCTTCAGTCTTCTATCTATCCGCTCGAACCTCCTGACAGGTTCATCAGGGAGGATAGACCTGTCAGGAGGTCCGAGCGGGGGGCGGTGCAGAAGGAGAGCTCAGCTTCTGTGACATGCAGAGCAGTTAGGATGGAGAGCGATGCAAAAACACTGAGGACATAGAAAGCTTACTATGTCCCCAGTTATGAAAGAACAGGAAGTGCTCTACATCACTTCCTGTTCATTTATGAATGTGGACATAGTAAATATTTACTATCTGCTCACTTTATGAATGAACAGGAAGCAGCTCAATACAGAGACTCTGTTCACAACTGAGTTTATAGTAAATACATTTACTATTTCCAGATTGTGAATGAACAGGAAGCCTCCGTACTGAGAGAGCCTCCTGTTTATTGAGTGCTGAGGCTGCAGAAAAAGAGACTCTGTGTCCTCAATCTCTTTTTCTTTTTTAAAAGGGAAATATCAGGAGTCTAGACTCCTAATATTTCCCCCGAAGCCCCCAAAGGTAAAGTAAAAAATAAAGAAATAATAATTTAAAAAATGTAAAAGAAAGTTGGGAAAACAGCGAGTTTTGATTTAAAATTTTTATTTTGACGCATTCCCTAAAGTTTTTACTTTACTTCCTGTCCTGAGAACACAACAGGAAATGAGAGAAAATCTGTGCAAAGGAAGGAGAATTAAAGTAGATCTACTGAATAGAAAAACTTTATCCAAAGCAAAATAAAAAAGAAACAAAACAAACAAAAAAGAAATCATCATCGCTCATTGTTGAGATTTACACTGAAACATTCACACTGTAAAACAAAACCAAAGTCTGGAGTTTTCCCCTTTAAAGGAGAACTATGTGGTCAGTGTTTTTCCCCATAGTTCTCCTTAGGATAACGGGAGGACACAAACTAGCGTCCTCCCGTCACCCTAGGCTCAGTATATAGGGAGCTACAGCTCGCGGTATACTGAGACACCGCAGCCGGAGCGGATCCCGACAATTGTGCCGGGATCCGCCCAGCTGCGTGACTGACAGCTGGCTCTGCCTATCTAGAAGCAGAGCCAGCTGTACCCGCCCCCTCCCCCGTCCGTTCCGCCAGTCAGCGCTGGCGGATCGGAGGGGGGAATCCAGCCCCTCCCCTGTCACGGCAGAGAGCCGTGACAGGATCGAGAGGTGAGCGAACGCCGGTATGTGTTCACTCACCTCCCGATCTACTGAGCCGACCTGTGACAGTCTCATTGTCACAGGTCGGCTAGAACTATGAGGTGAGTGGAAATCACTCATCTCATAGTTCTCCTTTAAGCCTCCGCCAAGTTCTGGAATGACTTCTGGTAAGTTTGCAGCGGCGCGCCGTTGTTCGCGCCGTAATGAGAATGTATAATCATCCGGAGGATTAAATGGAATATGCAAATGCGGAAGAACATTGCTGAGCAACACCTGCGAGGTCGTTTACTCCCGATTACTACGGGTGTCTGTTTTACGCGGAGCAATCTCCAACCTGCATCCATTTTCTACTGACACTTCTTAATATATAACTTTCTATTTTGGAGCGGGAAGGAAAACACAGCTGTGTGAACGACGTCGCTGCGAGCCGCCGAGGAAAGTTGGGAAGAAAGTTGAGCGCTCAGCGGATGGGCGACCTCCTTAGAGCGCCATGGAGGTCAGAAAGATGGGAGGGCGGGTCCTCTTAGGATCTGGGTTGGTTGGAGCCCCTCCAAGATGTAGGAGGGCCCCGGAGCAAATCTACATATACTGCAACCACTTTGTAAGACGAACATTTCATATTTTCGGAAAGCTGAGGAAGTTCAGTGATTCTATTAAGACTCTTGGGGGGAGGGGGGGGGGTCAGTTATCGAAAATGACATCTTTGGTAATGTCAGTTAAACAATCTATGAGCACCAAACCAATCGGTGAAAGAGTCCGAGTTGCTTTAATGTTTATATCATGTGATCACATACAACAGCCAACGTGTGTTTCAGGAGCCAACGCACTCCTTCATCAGGACTTGGAATTGATATCAGTGGTTAAGTGGCTGCCACTGGTATTAGTGGGCACCTGCCCTTGTTTCTCTGAGTCCACCTAAGCCCAGATGGTGCAAGGGTCCAAGTCCAGACATAAAAATGTTATCCCATATATAGATAATGATTTACCTTGACGTAATATATCCAGCTCAATCCATGCAGTAACCCAAACACCGATAAATCCCTACTAGAATCCATTCTAATTAGGGGTCATTGTTTTGTTATATCCATTTCATGAGACCCATGGTCACTATACTGGTCTTGTGACATCCCCAGTGTAGTTCTGTAGTGAATGAGCGGCAACTTAATTACAACAACGCTCCCTATAGTG